TCACTCATCTAAAGCCATCAATAACATTGCTCACACCGAAATGACAACAGACACTTCGCAGTTGCTCCCCGGCACTCCCCAATGTGGCAGGTCCCAAACTCCTGCCATCTATACAAATAGTCTTTTGCCGAGAGATTGGATTTTTATTTATCTGCTTTATCGGAAACCGAAACCATGCAGATGATAAAAGTCTGGGATTTTGAAATCATTAAATTTGATTTGGACGACGACGACGACGAGCACTCGGGGTTTTGAGACGCGAAAACGGTGAGTACACAACTGGAAAAAACCTGATCTATTGATCATTCAATATATAATTAAGATTTTGGAACAATTACCCTCAGTAAGAATATGGGTTCGGTCCTTGAATTCCACTGCCGAACTGGGATATGATGGTCTTTGAACCGAAACCACAAACTCCATTGTGCTTCCACACAAGATGGGAAATTCGAAAGGACAAATCCACAATCCACAGGTCATTTGCTTGTTTCCAGCGTCAGTGGTTTAGTGGTAAAATCCATCGTTGCCATCGATGGGCCCCGCGTTCGATTCGCGGCTGACGCATTTACATGCTTTTTTTTTTATATTTTTTTATATTTTTATATTTTTTAGCTTTGCATTCTGATAGCCGAAGTAAGGTAATCATAATAAATTTTCGCTATTCATAAAGAATAAAAAACTAAAGAAAAGAAAAAGAAAAAAGAAAAACAAACCGAGTTCTGTCCAGAACCCGCCCACCAAAGTAATAATCACTTTTGTTCTTCAAAATAATGATGATAAACAAAAAAAACCCACAACATAAAAAAACTGAGTTTGCCCCAGAAATCTCGCTACAAATCCTCGGAAGGCCCAATCCACCCAGTCTTTGTCTTTGCAGGAGGCTCGGGAGCAGCATGCCCTCCCCACCTCGGTTCCCAATACTGATTATCCATCCACCCATCCTTCACAGTGGCAACATTCCTGCAGTTTGGTCTCTCGTACGAATCTTTATCCCCAAAGGGCCACATGGGAACGAAGCAGACTTCGTCAAAACTGCACGTGGTGCATTCTTTCCATCTTGACCATCTGAGCTTTTCATTGAGAGATTTGATAATTTTCTTTGCGGATGCCAATGACTTTTCATTTGCGTTGGTATCTTCCACGATGAGTTTCCGAACTTCGAAGAGCGCGTCGCAAATAGAGCCCGTGACGGAACTGATCGCCGAGGCAATAAAGAGATCCTCATCTGTCCAGGGGTCGGGAAATTGGAGGTAACGAGTTCTCGCTTGTTGGAGATAATGCGCAGCACAGGTGTCTCTGGCTCGGTCGTATCTGTCATGGTCGTCCAGAGCATAGTCAATGTGCGTGTTGAGCAGTCCGCTTACAATGTGTTTAAGCACCTCGAGCGAGTCGACTTTTTCGGTCATGCTCCACAACCTGTCGGCGTAGCGAGCGATAATCATGTCTGTCACCCCTTGCCAGTCAATGCTCGCCTTTCTTCCGTCCACTCGATCACGCACAACGTCAAGAATGCGGGTTTTGATAGCGCGGAGTTGGTCGTCGGTGACACTGGTTAGACGGGGTAGATGAGATCTGGTCGGGTCGGGATTCGTGAGATTAACGGGATAGAACATGGCCGAAACCATGGAAGAAAAGTCGACGACTGCCCTTCCTGCACCAATACCGTGGTATCGCTGAGAAATAGCTCGGACATTCTCAAGCAAAACCGCATTTGAAGGAGTGTCGGGATTGTCCGGCCGTTGGTAAGCTTTGAGCAGCCTCATACTCCATGAGAATTGGCAATTGATGATTTCGAACCCAAACTCCATGCGAATGACTCCATCGAGACCTAGGGGAGTCAGAATGTCGCAGAGGGATTTTGCTCTCTCATATTCTTCCCAGATGGGCACATGGCGGTCGCCCCTGAGAAGAAAATCCTGAGTGTCGAGGGTTCCCATGTTAGTGTTTCCGGCGCTCATGCCATCGAGGTAGAGGAGACGTAGTGGTTTCATCGTTGTATAGATATGCAAGTATCCATGCTTTTTTTCGAGTGTTTGGTCCACGGGAGGTTGACGTTGGGCTAGATGCCAGAGTTGCTGCATTGGAGGATTTTGGTTTGCATCTATTGGTGGCGGAGGACCCATGCGCGAACGGGCGAATTGCTCAGCGTGCTCAATGTCAAAAGCAAGCCATTCTGGACCTGTTGGGGGTTCTGGATGGGAGGTTCCATGGTGAAGAATGGTGTCGGCGGGGACCGTCACGAGGAATGCAGAAAGTCCGTTGTGGTTGAGTGAGGATCCCCATTGACGCATTGCAGAATGGATGGCGTTGAAGATTTGGAAGGCATTCTGTTTTGCGGCCTCAGTGCTTGGTTCAATTGGTTTAAGCGCGAGGTCGTCTGTTGTTGATGATGCCGTTGTGGTCATGCAAGCCACGCAGATGACGGCTCCGCGCCATAAAATCGAGCCGGGTTTCATCTTGATGAAGTCTTTGGTTCAGACGGAAAAAAAGTTATTTTGGTAATTTGGTTGGAAGAATAAAGTGATGAAAATTCAGCGTTTTCCGATGGATGACTGAGTTAATGGAATTTTGGTTGGAAGAATAAAGTGATGAAAGTTCGACGTTTGCCGATGGATGACTGAGTTGATATAGAGTGTCTGACAGGCTGCAGGGCTAATGAGGATTCGAGGCACAGCATGTCCAAGTGCAAGTGCGACCCTCCCGGACGCGTCATCTTGGCTGAAATTGATGTGGGCAGTCACTGAAGTGAATTCTGAAGACATTTTCCTCTTATTTTTTGTGAAAAAGGGAAGTTGGAAATGTTGATGGCTTTGATGCGATGCAAGAACAGACCTGGGACCAATACGCCGTGACAAGCTATTATTTTTTTTAAATGCCATTTATACCGCAAACACCCACTAAAATTCAAATGCTAAAAAAACACAAAATTTTTATCTCATGACATTAATTTTTACCCCTCAACATGCTTAATCCCCTTCTCATCCTTCACCAACGCCGCCTCATTAAACTCCTCATCATCAGTCGGCAACTCCATATGAAAGTTCGACATTTGCGAAACCGACAACTCAATCTCTCCCTCAGTCTCAAACCCCAAGATATGCCCTCCGCGCTGCCTGTCCTCACTGATAAAATGCAAATGATCTCCCGCAACATTGATCCCCATGACGTACTCCGGACATCTAAACCCAAATAACGACCCCTTTTCGCTTGAAAAGTTATACGTTGATTGCCGACTGCAAACGTCCACCATTCCCTCCCGAGGAAAGCATTGTCCTCCAGCTGTCCGGCATTCAATTGTTTTGAACTTTCCATCCATTCTGATAGACAGAAAATGGTTTTTGGCAGCAGGGAAAAGTGAAATTAGGGTTTCCTGAAGGTGCGCTTTGCCAGAGATGGAAATCTTCTTGGTCACGGTGGGTCGAAATCGAGTTACGGTCGCAAACGGTGTGACGGTAGTTTCGGTGTCCGTGATGTGCACAACGGAACCATCGGCTTTCATTTGGTAGACTTGACCGTCCAACAAAATCATCTCGCCGACCATGTTGCGGAACGTTCCAAGACCATGATCGCCATGTTCGAGGACGCGCGAAATGGGGGTTCCATGTGAGGCGACGCCATCCATCAACGCTGAGATGAGAGAATATTGAAATACTTGGTTTTCAGCCATTTTGAAGAGGTCTGTAATTGTGGTTTTCTTTTTTGATGTTGTTGTTGCAAGTTGGGAAGGAGTTTGAGGTCGTCGGAAACCGGAAAGAAAATCAGGGGCATACACAGAGTGGATCCGGCCTCTTTTATGCTGGTTCCGAGATGCCGGAACCGGGGGTCTTTGGCTTTGGCGATGACGATCTTTGCGGAAGAGATTCGTTATCTTTGGAAGGTTCCACGATTATTACTCTGTTGGTGAGAAAATGTTGTGCAGTGCGTCATGCAAATCAGCAGGTGAGAAGGCAGGGGCAATCAGAATAAACGGTGTAGGTGTCTGTGTTCTGTGTCTGGGTATGACGATCCAGACGTTGGTGTTGCGCTCCTTATAATCTCAACCCGTCGATCTTCCTCCTGCTCATCTTCGTATCTACGGCTGGACCGATATGTGCGCCTGCTTGCCCAGCCTCATCATTGAAGGTGTTTTCCTCACCAGTCGCGGCTAACAGCTTGGCCTCGGTAGTTGATCCTCCCTTTTTTGGCCACTTCCCTTGGCAGAATCTGCTTCGGTTCCCAATGAAATTCTGATCATATTGAGGTGATTAAAATATCAAAATATTTGGCGTAGACAAGCGTATCACCAACATGGATGCATCAGAATAAAACCACGGATGGCACATGCACGGTCCGGGAACAAATGAACTACCACCGTACAACAGAGTCCGGCTCCTACCATAATGTAAAAAAGTATGAAGTTCACATCCAAGAAGCAAAAATGCGTCAGCCGCGAATCGAACGCGGGGCCCATCGATGGCAACGATGGATTTTACCACTAAACCACTGACGCTGGAAACAAGCAAATGACCTGTGGATTGTGGATTTGTCCTTTCGAATTTCCCATCTTGTGTGGAAGTACAATGGAGTTTGTGGTTTCGGTTCAAAGACCATCATATCCCAGTTCGGCAGTGGAATTCATGACAGGGATGAAGCAAATATACCGATAAAGTACCTACTCATTGTGTACCTAGGAAACAACGTTACACATGAGATCCCCAAATGTGTCGAATCTGGTTGATCTACTTGATGAAAAGGGTTTTAATGAGATTTCTGCAACAACTCCAGCGACAAGAGCGACAGCTTGTGGATTTTCATAATTACTGATTCTCCCAAACAGTTTTCAACTTGACTTTTTGTTTCCAGCCGTTGAGTCATACCGGCACTCCATGTCCAAACCCCACCACTCACCATAAACCTAAAAAACTTTTTACCCACAAACCCCATCTGACAAATCCCCTCATCCCCGACCCATTCATCAACCAAAATTTGTCTCCCACCCTTCAACAAATTCAAACAAAAAAGGGCTTGTGGTCTAGTGGTATGATTCTCCCTTAGGGTTCACCTTAAACAAACATCTGGGAGAGGCCCCCGGTTCGAGCCCGGGCAAGCCCCAAAATGTTTTAAAGGAAATGAAGATGAGGTTGATGTCTTTTTTTTTTTTTTTTTTTTTTTTAGAGCGTCAATTTACACTATGATCGATGACCTTCTACACTATAATTCCCACACCTAACCCTATCCCAAAGAGGTTTTGTGTCAAAAAAGCTACATCTACGAAAATCTTCAAGCTCAAATATTTCAACCACCGCAAAAGTTTTTAAATAGACTAAAACTATAAGATAAAAGGAATATGCTATAAACCTCTTTTAGTCTTTTGTCTTTTATGAAGAAGGTGGTTTTGAAGGGCAGTAGTAAGAAGAAATCTTCCTTTCCAGTATCCATAGTGTGGGAGGTCATCAATCATAGTGTGAATTGACGCTCTCTTTTGTTTTCGTCGTCCATTTCTCGAAACATACGCTCTCTATACAGGAAATTACGTGGTCATGTTAATCGGTCATAGAAGGTCAGTTGTTTAGTGGCTTTTAAAGGGACCTCAGCTACATTTCACAGAAACTGCAAGCCCGTCAAAAAGATTGCGAATGCACCACTCACAGGGCTGGAATGCACACTCAGGGGCAAGCAAACAAAAAGGGGTGGCCCGCCCATGCTCCAAAGGCGGGCTCAGGGGGCAGAAAACCCGTAAATCGTTGTATGTACATACAATAACCCCCCTTGAAAGTTTGTTAGTGCCATGGCTGATCATAAAATGCCTTTTTGATGTCGAAAAGGCTTATCCTTTTTTGCAGAACGCTTTTTCGTTTAATGAAAGGCCATTGATGCATAAAAAAGTTTTTTCTATTATTAAAAGGCTAAAAATGCCCTTCATTTGTTAATCAATCCTATTTTTAGAACAAATAGACCTTTTTTTTTCAAAAAGGCATGTTTATACATCTTATGAGATCTTGATCCTGAGCCACGTTTAGATGAAAAGGCTGTTAAGGCCGTTCCGTGGTTCCTTTTCCATTATACATCTTATGATCTTCATCCCTACATGAACTGATTCGTGCCTGATATCCATCTATTTTATTTCAGTTTGATAAGGAGAAATGAACTACCTAAATGCCCCCAGTCTTTATATTAACGGAGAATCTCAATTGTTGATGGACGGATTTGGATGGGGTCCAAGGGGTTCATAGCAGAGGATCAGTGTTTTGGCCCTTAGTTCTCTGCTCTATGAATATAAACTCCATGGCCCATGATGCCCATGAGTACCGCAGCGTGGCGTGCATCCTTGGTGTGTCTTCTCTGGCAAAAGCATCCTGCATCTCGGTATAGCGCGGAATCTTGGAGTAGAAGTGCTCAAAGTCAAAGTCTCCGAGTCGTCGCCTCGCATCGTCCCACATGGCCAACAGAAACATTCGAAGCCCAAGAGGCTGTATGACTTTTAGCCTCCCTTGCCAGGTCACACTTACGAATGTGCTTTGTGTGAAGTCTGGAAAGGGCATCCCGTCGAACATAACCGAGGCATTACTCCATGCATGGTTGGTTCGTATCGAAGGGAAAAGCAGAGATTTGTAAAAGAAAGGCGGATCTAAATGACAAGGCAAAGGCCCCAGAGGAGGAGGCTCGACGCTGTTAAACCAGAAGCTTTTGCACTGTGGACCCGGCTTTGATTCCCAAAACCAAATTTCGAGAAAAGGTCAACACCCGTCGGGACCTGGAAGAAATTTCAAGTCGAGGTCTCTGATCACAAAGACATCGGCGAGCTTGGATTTCATGGTGACGAAGGATGCGAGGTCATGGCTATCTTTGGGCACTCGAAATTCCATGGTGCTCTTGGAGGGCGCGAGGAAGGAGAGGAATTTGGCTGAGGGAGAGTCAAAGCCGCTGATGCTGAAGTTGAAGGTTGAACCGCCCTTGACGTGTAACACTTGAAATCCGATCCAGTAATTGTCGGAAGAATGGCCGTCAATCACGATTGTCACTTGCACGACCCGGCGCACTTGGAGGGACGAAATCGTGGCAGACGGGATTATTTGCGATATCGCTTCGGACTTTACTTGTTTATTGACCTGAGGGAAGTCGCAATTAGTTTGTGGGAAGACGGAAGCATAGCAGGGAGCAACACTTACGATGAACAACTTTCGAAAATCCTCGATTTTCCCCAGTTCGGACCAGATCATGCGCCTCAGCTCGACTGGGAGAGACAGGAGGTCCCTGGCGGGAGAATTTTGATCATCTTCTGAAGACAATTTTTAGGCAGAATGTAGAGATTAATGCTGCCGAAAAAAGTCGCGAGATGTAACAGGATGTTGATGGTGTCTGGATGATGCTGAGCTGTTGGCTTTGGTGGTATTATATATGTTGAATCTTCTTAATCCACTTGATGAAAGGGGTTTTAAGGCGCTTCCCTTCCATGGTTTCTTTTCCGTTGGTAGGTGGTCTGAACCACCCGGCTTGGTGATATTGGATACTGGAGGTGGACGGGGTTATTAAGGTTTGGTCTGTGGATGTTGTGGCTGCTTTTGGAGATAGCCCATGCAACGTAGGTTTGGTGGCCGAGTAATTCAGACTACCTTACCTACCAATAGAAAAGGAACCACGGAAAGGCATTAAAGCCTTTCTCGTCAAAAGGTGGCTCAAGATCTCATGATCAACCTCATTCGGGATCGCTTGGGAGGCAAGTTGGGATTTTTGCGTTTGGGTTTGAGTAGAGGAGGGAACGCATGCAAGGCCGACCGACAAGAGGAAAAGGGAAGGAACATAAAGCCAACCCATCTAATTGTACTGTCGTCGCTGTTGTCATCGCCGTGAAAAGTACTGTCATTCGAGAATACTAAGCAGTTTTAAGATTTCTAAGAGGTAGCCTCAGATAGGTAAAATCGTTTATAAAAAAAAAAGGTTATCCAAGGTGTTGAATTTTGTTGATAAGGTATACTTGATGAAAAGGTTTTTTAAGGCCGGCCTGACAAAAAGGCCGAGAAAAACCTCCCCATCAAACCTTATCACCAAACCTTATCCACAGCCCAGTCCCAAACTCACCCACTCAACCTTTCTTTCCTTCTTTAAACACCCCCAAAAACAACCAAACTCCCAACCCAAACCCCACCAAACCCTTTGTTCTTCAACATTTCCCTTCCCTTGTGTGCAGGAAACTCTGCAACCACCAATACTCGAATGTTCTCCTGTTTCATCCCCGCTTTGTTAATCACCAACTCCAACACCGAACACAGAGTGCGCCCGCTGGCGAGAACGTCATCTATTATCACCACCTTTGCTTCGACCTCGTCCTTGGATAATACGTCTTTATCCATTTCGAGTATCTCCGCTGCTGTCTCTGTTTCCTGGTCTAGGCAGGAGGTAATGTGAGATTTTCCTTGCTTCCCAGTTGATATTGTCGGAGGAGGGAGTTTATGTCCTTTGCGGATGGGGATCAAAGATATCTGGAGGGAGTAAGCTAGGGGAGAGGCAAAAATGAAACCGCCGGCTTCAGGGGCTATTATGTGGGTGATATTGTCCCAGGGAATGTGGTAGAGGGACGTGAAGAGGGAGGTGATGAGTTCGAGGCCGCCGGGGTGCTGGGCGATGTTGAGGACGTGACGAAAGGTCATGTTGGGAAGAGGGAAGGAAGGGATGGGGCGTATGAGGACTGGGAGTGCTTTAACATTGGGGTCGGAGACGAAAGGGTAGAGTTTGTCTGTGAAGAATTTGTTCAAGTGCTTCAAATTCGGATCCTGGCCATCGTTGTTAAATGTGAAGGTTGGGACGGAGGCTGCAAAGGGTGGTTTGATATTATCGGGCTTTGCTCCGCGGGATATGAGGGTTTGTTTTGTGGCTGTGATACGGACTTCGATGACGCGGCTGGATGGGACGAGATGGCAGAAGGCGGCGATGGGATATTCGTCTCGCAATCCGGTTACTAGAATGACATTGGCTGGACGAGCGCGGAGGATGGAGTTAAGAAAGTGCTTTTCTGGGAGCTTGGGGTCTTTTTGCAGTTGATTTTGGTAAAACGCTGTGAGCTCTTGGCGGTGTTTTTCCTTGTAGGCACGATCGTGGAAAAGTTTGGAAAGATCAATCCGGCGAGCTGTTGCATACAAAGTTTTGGTCTCGTCGCTGATACTGATTTGTCGAGCTATCTGGGGCTGGATTTCGTGTTCTCTGAAAAGGGTAACCCAATGGTCGGCGCAATAGTCCTTGCCCGCGCCGCTTTCACCAGTGACGAGAATAACGAGGGATGGTTCCATCGACCCCCCTGGGAGCGGGCAGGAATACCGCAACACGTTGTGAGGGTCCATGCTCATCTTGAGGCACCCCAGCTTTGAGAGATTGTGACCAAACGCCTTGGCCGCGAGGAGAGCGTCTCTAGGGTCAGGACCGAGATCAGCGCCATAAATGCCGTCACAGACTGAGCCATTGTACTCACGCAGAGCTTCCATGGCGGTTCTGTACACCCATTCGACTGTCGACCGAGCGATGTGTGTTCCGTCTTGATCTCTGGGCCACACACCTGTTATTACACAGGCGAATTCCCAGTCACGGGTACCGAATGCCGTGTCCGCGTACGGCACGTCTTGGATTGCGCCTCTGCCGTGAAGGAGGTGAAGGTAGCAGAGAGGTGTTGGGCGATTGTCCATCGCCGCCGTCAGGTAGTGTGATATCTGATGAAGGTTTTTGAGAAAAATGCAGCGCTTGAAGGTCGATGTTTTCGAGCCGCCGTGTCCGCCGTGCATGGCTGTCATGTACATGTCCGCTTCAAAGAGTTGCACGCTGTCCATGATCTTTACATCATTCTCAGGACCAAGAGAATTGAGGACAAGGGAAGCTGCATCGCTCTGGGCATTGTCCTCAGGTTCAATTCCCCTAGCACCGTGTCCCATCCACTCGAACATTGTTATCCCCAAGTTCAGCCTGCCTTTCTCCGCATAAAGAAACGAATCCACCGCACAGCTTCTCGGGAGCTTGCCAGATACTATCTCATCGACCTTTGCAATTCCAAGCTGGGTATCCGGCAAAACCCAATTGCGAACCATCATCCTCTCAGCAGGAAAAGCCATGAACGTAACGCTGACAAC